TCAGGAAAGGATACTCTGATGGAGTACTTGGAGAATCCCAAGAAACACATCCTTGGAAACAAAATGATCTTTGCTGGCATTAAGAATGAAAGGGCAGACTTGATAACTTATCTCAAAAAAAAAAAAAACAAACTACTAGTGAGTAATATTTGGCCACTGATTATGACAAAACAGGACTGTCTTGTGACATTTTTATGTGTACCACAATTTAATTCTCACATATCAGAATTCAGATCATGAATGGCTGACAGAATATTTTTGTTCAGCAGTCCTGATTTAGGTAAGATTGCCTTGTGTGGTTAAATAAATATGATTGGGCTTACTGAAATTTTGTAGTAATTTCAGATCAGTCAATGCTTTCACTCTTTTTCCCTTCCTAAGGATATGATTGGACTTAACTAATAATGTTGAACTTTTCACACAAATTTTGAAGGCCATCTCAAAACCTATTGGGAGATTGGATTTGCATTGAAATTCAGGGAAAATCTCTTCACTGTCTCAGAACTAAGCAAAACTCACTTGTGCTCTGGTTTGTGTTCTTTATCTGCTAAAGGCAAGAGCTAAAGATAGGTACAAATGTCTACTTAATATTTCTGGTGTTAATTATGTGAATCTAAGTAGAATTTCCCAAAACCAAACTGCTGCCTTTTACTTATTAAAAGACATTTTTGTGTGGTTTATGTTTATCACATAAAGAATATTTAATACCTCTCAAAAAAAAATGACAGCAAGGAGAGTGAGAATAGGGCTTAGGAATTTGCATTTTCAAAAATATCCCATGGGGTGCCAGTTTGAGTCCTGGCTGCTCCACTTCCAATCCAGTTCTCTGCTATGGCCTGAGAAAGCAGTAGAGAATGGTCCTAGTCCTTAGGCCCCTGCATCCGTGTGGGAGACCTGAAAGAAGCTCCTGGCTTCTGGCTTCAACTGGCATAGCTCAGGACATTATGGTCATCTGGGGAGACCTCCCTCCCTCCACCCCCCCCACCTCTCTGTAACTCTTTCAAATAAATAAATCTTAAAAAAAAAAAAAAATCCTATGGGAAAGGTCACGAGGGGTTCATACCCCAGACTACTATCCAAGGCTGCAGTCTCCAAACTGCTGGTTGAAATCTATTACTAAGTCTTGAAATCAGCTTAATGTAATTAGCATTTGAAAATAAGCAGAAAAAGATAAGGCCCTGGCCTGAAGCGTCGGCATCCCATGTGGGCACCAGTTCTAGTCCTGGCTGCTGCTCTTCTAATCCAGCTCTCTGCTGTGGCCCAGGATAGCAGTAGAAGATGGCTTAATCCTTGGGCCCCTGCATCTGTGTGGGAGACCTGGAAGAATCTCCTGGCTTCTGGCTTCGATCAGCACAACTCTGGCCGTTCTGGCCATCTGGGGACTGAACCAACAGATGGAAGACCTCTCTCTATCTCTACCTCTTTCTGTAACTCTTTCAAATAAATAAATATTTTTAAAAAATCAGAAAAAATAGAAAAATGTCAGTACACTTAACACATTGTTGGGTTCTTTTATACATGAGTGAGGAAGTACACGTGAGGTGTACTATGTTTCCAACTATGTGTCTCAGCTGAGAGAGTAGGACAAATAGTGGCCTAAGGGGACATGAGTTTCACTTCCCCAGGACTTTCTCATTGTCCCCAACCCCTACTATGATGCCAAATCACTCCAGCTTCTACTTCCTCCCACTATTCATAGCCCCAAAGGAAAGTGAGGCTGCTCTGTGTGTCTTCGGAGATGATGGGAAGTGAATGGAAACTACCTGGACTCTACCTGAACTTGGGACTGTCTGAAGGTTGGAAGGAAGAGAAGTAGTGGCAGGAAAGAATGAACAGAAAATGAGAAGTAAAGGATGGAGGGCAGGCTGAGACTCAAAACAAGTGAGGATCAGCCAGTGTTCTGTTTTGCGTGTATGAGGTTGCTAACAGCCACTCTTAGGAGATGGAGGGATTCTAGCTTTCTAATTTTTTCCTTTCCAGCAATGAGATAGGTCCTTGCCTATTCATTCATATTATCTTGACCCACCTTCTAATAAAATTAATGAGATTTCACAGGTGTGGGTCTGGACATGAACAAGTCCACAACTTGTTTTCATGGATACAGTTTCAACCAACAGCTACGAGGACCATGGGACCAGGAAAAGAACACCCAGCAGATTTGGAACAGTGGGTTCTTTATCTCAGGCAGTCTCTCCATACTGGATTGCACAGCCCCTTGGGAAATTCTCCAGAATAACCACTGAGGAATATCCCCTGGGGATGAAGGTCCAGGGACTGAAAAATCGCCCTTGTTCTGAATGACAAATTGTGCGCTGGACTTGTGTTATCTTCACCTTGAGGAAGGGGTGTTTTGCTAATTCCCTAGCCCTCTCCTCACACCACCTGCCCAAAGAGTGCTTTCTCCTAATTTTCACCAAGGTTTATGACAGCTTAGGGGCATCCCAGGGGGAAGATGACTCAGTTCCATCACTGTGTCTTATGATCTCAGGCAATCTTTTAGTGTTCAACAGACACCTGCATGCAAGACACAAACACAATTTACAAGTCTTTGGTCTGAACTAAGTAGTTTTCCTAATGACTATTTTTTCTCCTCCCAAGAACCCAAATATTCCAACAAGCCCATCCACTGCCATTCAGTGTGCCAGGAGGTAGATGATACATTCTTGTTGCTTCTTTTGAACAAGATTATTTTTTTTGGCAGTCACTTTTCAAAACCTCAGCTACAACAACCTGCACATCCAATAAACTGTCATTATCTTTGCTAAATGCTTTCAGTGCAGGAGGGATGGGGAGAGGAGGTCTTTTGTATTCCTGGGCTATCAATATCTTCTTTGGAAGAGACGGCTTCATTCCAGAAGGAAAAACAACTCTATTTTATTCTTGCTATTTTCCTGTAAATGAGGATAATAATTATCTGTCCAGAAGAACTATTTTGAGGGCTAAAAATAGAAAATACCAGTACATAGCACTGAGTAAGCACTCTATATATGTTGGTGTCCATTCTCTTTGGGGCTGAAGGACGGAGGGTTATCAAGCCTTCTCTTTTCTGTCCAGCTAGCAGAACTTTACAGACAAGGAAAAGACAGTGTTCACACACACCCGAGGGAACAGGAAAAGCCTGCCCTATTTTGGTACAGAAGAATTACCATTGAATATGCAGCTTTTACAATTTAATCACCATGGGAGTTCTTACAACCTAATGGCGTGTGTCAATTAGTGGATTAGGATATGTGGCTTACCAAGCAGACACATCAATTTAGGGTAACTGGATAAACAAGCTGGTTTGTGGGATGCAGCTAAACCTGGGTCCTTGTCCTTTGCTTTTTTGCAAGTCTGTAATTCTTCCTAATGCACAAGGCTCCAACTCTAGGCTCTGACCATGTGGAAATATTTGTATTCCTTCAGTGCACCACGGTCTTTGAGAACTCTTTGTACACTCTTCTTTGATTGGAATGCCCTCTCATCCTCTACCCTCCTTTGCAGACTCAACCCCTACTTCTAGGAAGCCATTACTTCCCTTCCAGAGTGGGTCAGCATCTACTGTCCAAGGCTGCTCAGGGTTGACTCTGCTATCTGCCATCCTATTGTTTCTCTGTCTCCCCACTAGACTATGTGCTCCCTGGGGATCTGAGTGAATGAATGCAGAGGACAGGAATTAAATGAATGGGTGAATGGCAGGACTGGAATACAAAGCTCAGCACCCAACTTCCCATTCTATTTCCTTCACTTTATTCTTTGTCAGCTGCCAAAGGAATACCTAGATTTTACAGGGTGATTAGCAAATTGAAGTCTTCAGAGGAAAGGTAGTGGTTGGCTTGTTACCTCCTCTCAATCTGACATTTATTTGCCTTTTAAGATGAATAAGCTCTAGTTAATAGCTTATTAACAATAGGTAGGGTCTTGATTTTCAAGAAAAGTGGGATGATATTGTTAAAATGCACACATACTTATGAATTAAACAAAAATAACATGTTAGCAGGCAGGCATTCAGCTTAGTTGCTCAGATGCCTGTGTCCCACGTAGTATTTGGGTTTGATGTCTGGCTCTGATTCCTGACTCAAGCTTCCTGCCAATGCAGACCCTGGGAGGCAGTGGTGATGGCTCAAGTAATTGGTTCCTGACACCCATCTGGGAGACCTGGATTGAGTTCTAAGCTTCCAAATGTGGGTCTGGCCCAGCCCTGGCTATTGTGGGCGTTTAGAGAGTAAACCAGTAGATGGGAGCTCTGTCTGTCTGTCTCTGTGCCTTTCTCTGCCTCTCTATTAAACAGATGTTAAAAAAAAAAAAAAAAAAACCAACTAGTAAAATGTTAGGTCTAGAAAAGAAAACCAGAGATATCTCCCTACCACTGTTCTTCCTGGCCCAGGATTCTGTAAACACTACCACTTACCATAAACCTTCTCTCAACCCTGCCAGCAACTCTGAAATGCAACTCTGTGTGCAGTACCGGGTCTGTTTCCATGAAGTAAAGTCAGGAAACTTTCATGGTGAGAGGTAGAACATAACCAGGGCTTACTCTGTACTGGCCCAAGACATCTAAACAATGTCTCAAAGAGAACCTTACATCTCTTGAATGACAGTCATCTACTACTACAAGTCTGTAATTAATTTGAACCCAGCATTCAACCTGAACCCCCTTTTCAGTAAAGCTATGAGTGTAGAACATTAGAAAGCCCTTCCCCCTTCAAACAATGTCAGTAACAGCCCAATTCATCAAAGCTCTAAGTGATCCTGGAGCCTCCAATTTTTATAATTTTTGGCCACGAATATTTTTTTTTGATAAATACATTGGTTCAGCGCCAATTTTCCCTGCTTTCCAGAGTAACATTCTAGGGATAACCTCCTGAGAACAAAGTCTCCAAAGATCCACTTTTGAGCTCTGGTTTCTTCGAAGCTCAGCTCCCAGGAGAATGTCATTGCCAAGCTTGCAACAGGCCTTCATGCTACGCAGAGTGCCTAGGAAATCTGACCCTAAGAGAAAGAGAAGAAAGCGTACTGACCTTGTGCAGCTCCACAGGAGTCGGGGACATGATCTCCTTTATTTCTTGCTTCATTTTTCTCAGAGTCACAGACTTCCTGCCCACATCTGAAGGCAGGGTGTTGCTCCGAGTTGTCTGGCTATAGTGTGGGCGTGAGCTGCTGCGTTCCTGGAAGCTGGCCTGTCGCCCCAGCTGACTGCGAGGTGTTGGGGCTTCATGGTTCAAACTCATCGTGCTCCCCGACATGATTGTTGCCTGCGGCATTGACAATTTTCACAAGCAATTAAGAGACAGACTAAAGAAAGGGACTGGTTGCTCAACATTAAGCACATTTCTCTTTCTGCCCAGTCAAAATACAGTCTCTTCAGGGCACAACCAAAGGTTGGAGAATGGATGTACTAATTGAACTATGAAAGTCTGAAAATGCTTTGCAAGTGACATCTTTAATGCACATCTCAAATCCAATTTAAGTACTTAAGCCATTGAGTTTATTTAATCAAATACCACCCCTGGCGGTTTTGAGGCAAATTGAAAAGCTCTAACATTTGCTTACTGCAGAGTGCATTTTAGGCATTAACTTTTCACTGAGTGGGCTTTAACAGATGGGATTCTTGCAACTATCTTCAGTACGTCTTGCAGGAGAGAACTAAGGACTTCTAAGGCTGCCTCTATTTGCATGCTGTCTCTAGCTCCTACTGGAGCCCACCATTGACTGCAATGGGATTATCAATACAAATGCAAAGCCGCTGAGCTTGCTGCATAACACTGGATATTGTATTTCCTCTTGCCAAGTGGCCTGCCGCAGAGGCTTGTAGATCAGCGAGGCCACCATATCACTTGGTATAGTGGTATATTGACTTCAATTTCTTAACAATGGTCTTTGGGCAAGATCCTCAGAGAGGTTAAAAACAATTACTTATCATGTTATTGGATTCAACCCATTGCTCAAAACCTGTGACACGTGGAGGTTATCAGTGAATTGGGTAGCTTGCTCAGTTCCAAATTTGTTACTTGCATAGCAGAAGCAATGGTTAGTCTAGATCCCAAAGATGACTGACTCTGACAACTGGAACTAAAAAGGATGTAAACTCAATGTCATGTTGGGATGTTCATTTCTCATGGTTAGAGGATGCTAAAATTCTGAAAATATGCCTGGAGCCAGGTAGATAAGGTGGTGACATGAAGATAAACCATCATCAGTAGATCTGCCTAAAACTATGAGACAAAAATCACGTTCCATATGCAGTGTGATAATATGCATATATGAAAACTTGATCTAGTTATCCGTATTAATACCAATGCTAAAAGCACCAGAAGTTCAATTTGTTGAATCCCTTGAATGTATTCACTCACTTAAGCTTCAGAACAATATGAGATATGCACTGTTATTCCTCCTAATTTATTGATGAGGAGACTGAGACATAAGTTCTGATCCAGGTTCATACATGTATTAAATAAGCAAAGTGAATTTTCTAAAACTATTGACCAGAAGGGAACACTGAAAAGTGTGTGGAATTTTCATTTGTCATTTCTCAAAGACTTCATAATTCCAAACCCACAAGGTCTTTGAAGAGCAGCTGAGTAGTGGCACACAAGTACATGTATGGAATGGCTCTTGAAAAAGTAACAGAACCGGTAAACCTATTAGCCTCCTGACTAGATCAGTTGTCTCCTGGAAATTTTGAAAAATAATATTATAGCTGTAAAAAACCTGATCATTCAACAGTAACATATGCTAAGTTCCATAGACATAGTGTGTGTAAAATACCAATGGATACTTAAGTAACCCAATGTGGTACCTGTCATAATTTTTATAACAATTCATTTCAATTGAGAAAACCCATGCTTGAATAAATTAAGCAACTTGCCCAATTTTCTAGGATTGCAACCCCATAAATCTGATTCCAGAACCTTTGTCTGGACTACCTGGCTGCATTGCTCCTCTGCGAAGTATTAGGCTGAACAATGGAAAACTTCTTTTTTAGTAGGCAAAGCTTCCTTAGCTTTAACTAAATGGGGGTTATCTGTATTATGGTTTATTTCAGATAAATACTCTTGTTAAGTGTATTGAAACCTTTCTGTGGCTAGCTTTGTTCATGTCATAGAACATATATTTAAGTTTTTAAAAAGCACCTACTCACATCTATCATTTCTGTGTTTAATCTACTGAAAATGACAGCACCCAGTGATTGTTTCCCTGCTGTGGCCACCGTCCATCTACTATTTTTTTCTCCTTAGACTATTTACTTTGTTAATCTCTATTTTTTATATTCATCTTTCATGGGACCAGCAGGAAACATGTTGCAAGTAGAACACTTAATCATACTAGCTGGAAACCACAGTTCAGCATGGATGAGTCTTAGCTGCCAAGGCAGTAGTCTGAATGGCTTTAGAAAGGGTTTTCATGGAAGCAACGAGGTGTTATTTTCAAGGCCTGGTTTTATTGCTTTGTTAAAAGGGAATTTCAAGTGAATTCTAAGAAGGAATATGAAAATTAAAACACAAGTTCAAAAACTAAAAGAAAAAGTTAAATTAGAATTTGCTTCAGCTTCGGATGTAGGCATTGCCTGTTTTCGTTTGACACAATTCATAATTAAATGTCCTTCTGAAGATAACTTAGAGTTCTCTGACATTTAGTTAAATCTCCTTTCTGTACTATACAAGTATTAAGCAAAAAATAGTTAAAGCAGTGTTCATGAATTAAGAACTGGAAAAAATAATAGTAGTTCATTTTTTCTGAATATTTTATTGAAAATTTGTTAAGTGCCATACAAGCTATAGCTCATTATAATCTCCATATTTCATAGAAGAAATATCTGGTGAGAGAGGTTAAAAATTTGCCCAAAGTCTTAATTCAAATTTTTCTCCTTTGTTAAAACCATGCATTTTTCACTGCTAAAGCTGAATATAACTTATTGCTAGCAATAAGGGAAAATGATTAGTAAATTAATTTTAATTTGAACTGTAATCAATTTTCATCTTAATCTTCTACATTTATTAGTGTTACTATGTGCTTTAACTTTTAATACTGAATATATCTTAAACGTAGAATCTAGCGTCAATAAATTTTTTTCATAATACTATTTCCAATCAAGGGATTGAAGTTCATTTAAACTAATAAGTGAATGCTCTTTGTGATAAAAGTGTAAATATCCCAATTTATGAATTTGCCAGTCATTATTCTTGAACGAAGATTTTAATTCCCTTTGGCTTCTAAGCTCAGCCTATTTTCTTTCCGCATTTATAATTTCAAGGGTGTTCCTGTCTGGAACTATGTTCAAGCAAATCTGCAGGCTGCTGTGTTGATGGATGTTACTTCCGTGAGATAACTTAACTTCTGGGTGAAAGCACAATCTGATGGCACTACTTGTTCCAGCTTATGTTTTAATCTAATATAAAAGAAGCCACTAGAAGAGTAGCTGCTTTTATTCAAAAGACAAGTATCAAAATGCAAGATGTAAAAGGCATGTGAGCCAAACATGCTTTCAAAAGCATGGGTATGTTCATGAATCATGAACTGTGCTCCTGATTCAGCTGGGACACATTCAACTCATTATTCTACACACAGGAGGTGGTAAAAGTTTAAATAAGCTAGCCAACACTTAAGCATTCTGCTTTTTCTGGGAAGTTGTATAAAAAGAAATCAATTGCTAACATCTTAATTCATTACAATTGTATAGGATTATCCATGTCCAGGTCCTTTAACTGTGCTCTGAAGTTGAAATTCATGCCAGGTAATACTATGATGTTTACAAATTCAAACTCATATTTTTCTTTATAATTTTCTTTGCAGTTTCACAAACAATAGAATCACATAAAATATACACACATGCAATTGAGAAGCAAAAACAATATAAAGATGAATAATCATTTTAGAATCGCAAGAGTTTCACCCAGTTATGCCATTCACATTCCTTATGGTGACTTGGGGACCTCATATGACATCAAAATAAAAATGAGACTTTTGCCACTTTATTTTTTTACAGCTCAGAAAATTCAAAAGAACATAAAAGGAAATAGTCCAGGACTTCCTAGACTAAAATGTGAATACCATCAGCAAATTCATTGCTTTGATTAAAGAACTCACCAGGAGTTCAGCTAGTACATTCTGTCTTGCTATTCCTTAAATTCACATGAAGGGAATTGTGGAATTTGGCTTGCAATGTTCTGTGTCATATTTTGCCTGCTTATGAAATACACTGGCCCTTCTACCAGCTACATTGTCATCAACTTTAAGGGCAAAAGAAAATGAAATTTCCTCTTATGTTCCTCTTAACAATCAATTTCTATACCAGGTACAAATGAAAACATGCCAAAGAAACCTTTCTAAAGCAACTAAGAGGATGAGATGCACCACTGCTGGGAGACTTAGCTTGTCCTTAGCGATTTGGTAGGAAACAGGTACAGTCAGGGTTAGCAGGGAGCAATGGCAGAAGCCACAAGTCAGTAAGCTTGGGGGGGAGGGGTGGAAATGGGGGGAAGAAATATTTTCAACTGCATTGTATAAAATCAAATTGCTGTCCAGAAGGCAAGGAGGGGCAGGGAAGGCAGCTTCACAAGCAAAAAATATAAACATAAAGGGTAGCTACCAAGAGAGTCATGTTTCTCAAAGACACACGCCTGTCAGCTTTCTCCTGTGGAAAGGGGTTAAAGCCTTTAAATGAACTGGTGTGATAAATGCAAACTTAAGAGGACCAAAAAACATGAACGTAGAAACAATAAAAGTAAGTCGCAGGACGAAGGCTACCTCAAGTTCTCTCAGAATTCCTGACTGTCCACAGGTTTCTAAATCCTCCAGTGCTTGAGACCAGAAGTTCTCCTCTTGCTCAGCCTCTGCGCTGTCAGAAGTCCCTGCGAAACTGTCATCAAGAAACAGTCCAGGTTAGGAGCTTGTCAAACATAATGTTTTTCTTCTCGTATCCAGACTCTCTCTCCTTCATCACACACACAAACCAGAAAGGCATTCATTTTAGATCTGGCTTTCTTCCCACTGTGGCCTCCCAGGAGAGCCAGCTCTGCTGTTAAGGATGCATTAGAAAAGGCAACATGTCATGAAGGATGAGAGGATGGTCCGTGGTCTTCCTCGCAGAATTGCAGATCAGCCAAGGCTCTTGCTGAATAGGCTGCATTCACACAGCCGGCATTTAAGCTGCTACATCTATAAGAAAGATAAAACTCTTAAAAAGAGAGATGTTTTCCTGACTAATTACAAATCATTATAAATAAATGTTTCTACTTTTTATAAACTTCCTTAAAATATTCTGAAAAGAGACAAAATGCTGAAGTATACTTCTCTAAAAAGAGGACCTGTGAGGTATCTTTTGCTTCAAAATGTAATTTAGGGGCAGCCATTTGGATTAGTGGTCAAATCATTGGTTAAAACACCCACATCCCACGTTGCAGTGCCTAGGTTTTGTACCTGTTTCCTGCTTCCCATTCCAGCTTCCTGCTAATGCATGCCTGGGAGGCAGCAGGTGATGGTTTAAGTACTTGGGTTCCTGTTGACCTAGATTGAGATCCCAGCTCCTGGCTTGATCCCTGCCCAGCTTTTCCTGCTGTGGGCATCTGGGCAGTGAACCAGTAGAAGGGAGCTCTGTCTGTCTGTCCCTCTGTGTATCACATTTAAACAAAAAGCCATGTGAAATCACCTTTGAAAAGAAAGAAGAGGGAGCTAGTTTCACAGGGTGAAGACATGGTTTCTCACAGTAGACGTCTCAATCGTTACTACTGTTGTAGCAGGGAAAACCCTTGGTGTACAGTGGTGCTCAGGCTGCCACTGGAGGGCACGAGATTTAGAATCCTGCCTGTGGCCAGCAGGGATGATTACGGGGCCAATGCTAGGAAAGTGCCACTGGAAATGGAGAGGTTCTGTTCTTGCCCACATGACCCTGAAGTGATCTTGGAAAGGACAGCAGTGGATATAACCTTACCCACTGGTTGTGGAGCGGTCCCAATCTTCATTACTGAGTCCCACATCCGGGTAAGTCTGGCTTCGAGGCTTAGGGACTGGGGACAAGCTGCCTCTCTGTTTCGGATTCCTCCAGTCATAAGTGTTGAAGTTGTATCCGGAGGCCTGAAAACCAGGGCCTAAAACATACACAAAGTGTTAAGGTTGGGCTTGAGGATGACTTAATGCTTGAGTAAAACAGCAGCAACGACAATCACAATAGTGAAGAAATAGTGGGCACCCACCATGCACCCTGGACTTTGCTAGTGCTTTATTTGTATTGCCCTGCTTATTCTTCAAAGCCAACTTTGAGGGTCAATGTTGTGCAAGGGGTTAAGCTGCCCCCTGCAACACCAGCATCTCTTGTAATCTCCAGTTGGAGTCCCAGTTGCTTTGTTTCTCTTTCAGTTCCCTGCCACTGCACCTGGGAAAGCAGCAGGAGATGGCCTATGTGCTTGAGTCCCTGCCACCCACATGGGAGACCAGGATGGAGTTCCAGAATCCTGACTTTGGGTTGGTCCAGCCTTGGTCATTGCATCATTTGGAGGGTGAACCAGAAGATGGAAGATCTCTCCCTCTCTCTCTAAATTTTATTTATTTGAAAGGCAGAGTTACAGAGAGAGAGAAAGTGAGAGTGAGAGTGAGAGAGAAAGAGAGAGAGAATCTTCAATCCACTGGTTCAATACCAAAATGGCCTTAACAGCCTGGGCTGGGCAAGCCCAAAGTTATGAGCCAGGAACTTCATCTGGGTCTCCCACATGGCTGCAGGGGTCCAAGGACTTGCACCATTTTCTGCTGCTTTCCTAGGCACATAAGCAGGGAGAGGGATCAGAAGTAGAACATCTGAAAGTTGAACAGGTACCCATATGGGATGCCCGCATCACAGGCTGAAGCCTAACCCATTATGCCATAATGCTAGCCCCAATAAATAAATACATCTTTTTTTTTTAAAAAAAAAAAGACTTAAAAGTAAGGTACTATTACTACTTGCATTTCCCAGATGAGGGTACTAAAGGTTTAGAATAGTGATTTCAAAAACCTACAGCTACTTGGCAAACCTTCCTGGATATTCAAGTCATAATTTTAGAAGAATTAGTTTTCAGATCCTAAGTTCCATATGCACTTTCCTCAAAACTGACTGAGCTGACAAAGTGCCAGGGGTCTGGGATCTGCCAGCTTTCCCTTTTAACTTCTCCTTTCACAATTGTTCTCTTGCCACTTGCTTCATATGGAGGACATACTCCTCATCTACTTCCAGCCTTGGAAGGCGCTTGGCTCTGGGATATCAAAACTCCCAGCTGCCAAATCAAGGAACAATTTAGAAAAGCCCTGTTCCCATGAAAAGCACTCTTGGGAACTGAACCTTGTTTCCACCAGAAACAAACACATGGTCAGGCCTTCATTCCCCTCTCTCATACATCCATTGCTCTGTCTCTTAGAACTTGAACCCAGAATTAAGACAGATGTCAGGGTTGGAATTGGTGCATTATTACATTTATCTGTATTGCAAAATAAAGACTGACATTTTTCTGACAGGTAGTTAAGTCTGATCAACCGACGGCTGAGCCAGTGAGGAATAGCTTTGCAAATTAAGTTATATAATGGGGCTTGCAAGATGGCAGAGTAGAACTAGTGAATGAATGCAGGCAGCAGGATTTATTTTTTTTTCTTTGGTGGAGGGATGCTAAATTAAATAAACCATTGCTAATCTCATCATGGGAAAAAGAATGCAAACACAAATATAGCCATTAAGGAACAATATTGGGGATACAATTATAGAAAGTGATAAAATGAGGTTAAAATTAAGCAAAAGATTAGGTATATGCAAGTACACTTGAAAACCTGAATGAAATTGATTTTTTTCCTGATAGGATACAAATGGTAACAATTAAATCAAACGGGAAAGAAAAGCAGAAACATCGCTATGTGAGTTAGGAATGACAGCGAGCATAAGAACTACATTGTTGAAGAAAAAGGCAGAGTCTAGGAATTGCCAATTAGTCTCCTCTTGCATTGACTTTTGCAAATTCAAGCAAAGCAATCATAGGGGGTTCTCAAGTTAGCAGGAGAATTAATCAGACAAAAAGGGACAAGCAGCATAAGATATGGATAAGGCAGAAGAATGTATGAGGAGTAAGAGAATGAGCAGTGGAAGAAACTGACCACCAGGCAGAGTAGGAAAAGTTTGCATCCTAGCAACAAGTAAAGGATTGAGGTCATCCCATTGTGCGACTGCATAAGCACATTCCTCCTTCCTCACCAACTCTGATCAATCCATCCTATTTTCCTTTTCATCAACTGAGCAATACTTGGCCCTGCTGGCACCTGTTTGTTTACTTGTTAACTGCCTGAGCCTGCAGCTGGGTGACCTCTCCTGTGAGAACAGAGACTGTTGGTTTTATCTAACAGTGTGTACACATTGTATATCAGCTTTATGTTGTGCCAGTTGTGAAGTATTTCTTGAATGAATTAGTTGACATTTTGGAAAAACCATCAGAGAAAAATAAACAATATTGCTGCAAACACATCAATTCCCAGCCCAAGGAGGAAGATGTGTATCAGTGGGGTACAACTTACCATTGGGAGTGGGGGTCACTACTACAGCATTGAAGGGAATAGTGAAAAGGTTCAAGGTCTTTCTGTGGCATGATAGTTAGCTGAGAGGCTGCAGGGCTAGGTTTAATAAATAAGTTATATACAGGATAAATAAAAATATGGTTCTACGCTTTGTTTTTAAAAGTCCATACCAAAAGCCTGACCTTGGTTACCCCAATATCACCTGTAAAGAGAAAGGAAATCCCAGAATTCAGGATCTTGGTAAACAGTTAGCTCAAGATGAGCAATGGATGTGATGGATCCACTACCATTCTTATGTCACAGAAGGCTGCATTACATTGTAAGTGCTACCATCCTGAACAAAGCAGATGGTAGAGTTTCTCTAGGCTGTTAGACTATTGTATGACTTTCCTTTCTGAGTGACACACACTTGAATAGGTATAGAGTTAAACGTGGACATATTCAAAAGAGAGTCCAGCAGGATGAAAAAGATATTCAAAAGTCAGCTATGTAAGGAACAGTTGAAGGAAATCGGGCTATTTTGTTGTAGAGGGAAACATGAAAAAGAGATCTGATAGCTGTCTCTGAGTATCTGAAAGGCTGTCAAGTGGAAAAGGCTTCAGACTCCTTCTGAGTGACCTTGAGGGTAGAACTAGGACTGACAGGCAAAAGCTCTGAGCAGACAGAGCTCAGCTCAATATAAGTGAGAACTCTTTTGAGCTGTCAGGGCTACAAGGAGATGGGAGGGTTGCTTCAGGAGGTAAGGAGCCACCCGTCCCCATGGGTGTTCAAGGGCATGAAGCATGTGGCTGTGACATGGCACCAAGGCTGCACTGGACACCAGACTAGCTGACTTCTGGGTCTTCTAACGCTGAAACCCTCTGACGGTGGGCTTTAACTTCCACATTATGAGAACCATCTGAGGTCAGCTCTGTGAAAGTGCCTTGTGAACTCTAAGTTGTTCTGCAGATATAAGGCACCATTTTTCCATTACCTTAGATGACTTTAATTCTATCTTAATCAATATTATATCTACTTATCCCTTTGATCATTCAACCTCATAAATGTTTCTAATCTGTAACAGTCAATTTGAATATTTTTATATTACTATTCAAAATTTTAAATGCTTCACAAATAATAAATGGTTCTTTTTCTTTTATTAATGAGGGACCAGACCTATATTTGGTGTGCTAATCATAGTCCTGAATCTATAGTATCATAAAGGCAAGGCATGGAATAACTAAGTTCTTCTATGTCACCTTATGGTGACAATTCAATAATATCAATACCAGCCTCACAAAAATTTCTATATGACAAAAACGTCAACATATCAATTAAAAGCACATTAATACATAAACCTCAGAGTACACTTTGATGAAATTTTGCTTAATTTTTATTCAGTGTCCTCTTGTGGCCCATCATTTCTTAGGGAATGAAAATGTCTGTTGGGGTGGGTGCTTGGTGGAGAGGTAAAGGTACTGCTTAGGATGCCTGTATTCCATATTGGAGTGCCTGATTCAAGTCCTGGTTCCCCTGCTTCCAATCCAGCTTCCTGCTAATGCACACCGTGAGAAGAAGCAGGTGATAGCTCAAGTACTTGGGTCCCTGACCCCCATATTAGACTTGGGTAGATTTTATGCTGTTAGCTTATGGGTGGCCCAGCCCAGAATCTTAATAAGCATTTGGGGAATGAATTAGTGGATGGAATATCTCTGTCTTTCTCTGTTTCTCTCTGCCTTTCAAATAAATTAAAATTTTAAAAAGATAAAATATCTGTTATTTGGTGGCACAGCTAACTTGTTACAAGGTATTAAGACTGACAAAATTAACTGTCAGATAAATGAAAGCCCAACAATTCTATCTTAGATGTTCAAAAGGTTTTCTCACCAAACTTCAATAGCATTAATAAGTAACAACTTGACAACTTTGAGATATCATTTTATTTTTTCCAGCCCATCAGGGAATGAGACAGCAAAGGCAGGCTGTAAGAAGAAATCCAGGATGACAGCGTACTGGACACAGACTCCCCTTTAAGTACAGGTAACTAAGCTACAAAACAACCCTCCTTCCAAGCAGGTGTTCTCCAAACTGCTCACGTACTTCATCCTTTGATTTAAACCCTGAGCAGAGGAGGGGCTGGGATACTAGAACTGACACCATACATTTGAGAAGAAAAGGCTCAAATGAGAAGAAATACCAAGACATTTTGACACATTTCTCTTTTTGATGCTTTGACTCATTGGGAATGAAACATTTCTTGAAAAAATGCTTTTAGTTTATACACTGTATTCTGGCTGACCCTTTGGTGTGTTTATGCTTGATGAGCAAATGAGTAAGGTTGTACTTCAATGGAGCTTATACGGCTTCACCCGAAAACATGATGTGTATGAAGAAAAATTCACTATATACTTTTATGCATTGTACTTACAACTCTCTAAATTTGAGTTTTCAAGGAAACCCCTACAAGTTTCTATCTAAAGTTGGGAGTGAGCAGGGATAAACGGGGTCACAATTTTTTTAGGCTCATCTCCTATGCATATCTCGAGAATCCCCTAATCCATCTTTGTGGAACCTTTGCTAAAAAACAGAACAATGGAGCCTGACTCTAGTGAAACACTTTACTGTATGCCTTGCCTCATATGAATCTGAACTTAAGGGCAAGCTCTGGATTGACCACTTGGCCATCCATAGATCTAATGCAGTGTTTGATAAATGTCCACGACTATCTGCAGGAAGGAGGAGCGCTGCCAGCCAAGTGGAAGTACTCAGCGTGTTCAACATGGAGGCACTGAAGCAGACACAAATTGAATAAAGATACTGTGTTTTGGGGAACAGGGTGAATCTTCAGGGAACAAGGGCTCCAGCAATGACGGGTCCTCTGATCCATGAAAGTGAGGACATACCCTGACTCCCGTAGCTTGCATCGATAGTGGAGCCATCCCAGGAATCCACAGCACTGTCCACACTGGGCACCGTGGAGGGGTACAGGTCAGAAAGCTTGCCTGGCTTCGGTGTGGCAGAGGAGTCCTCCTCTGTATCTCCCAGGTCACTCAAATGGCTGGGAATGGGGAACTTCTTGGGACTGGATGCTGACTGGGCTTTAAAGACAGGAAAAGAATCTAAGTATCAGACAAAATCTGAATAAAAAGATCCTCAAATAAATTCATGAAGGACAGTCATTTTTGTAGAAACACACACAGTAACCAGTACATGTGTTCTTGGAAGTGCACTGGAAATTCTTCATTGTGGCTCTGAACCCACTCACCATCTGTCTGTTTCTTAATTTTCAAGGTGACAGTCTCTCCTGCCATCTGCAACAAATGGATGGCTTCGCTCAGGGGCTTCCCTTTCAAGCTGCTGCTGTTGATGGCGAGGATTCGGTCTCCTATGTGGATTGCGCCGGTTCTGAAACACCAAACAGTACCAGGGAAGGTGGAAACAACCCCTGCATCCCCTGACAGGCTTTGTGCAGTCAGGGCTACAGAGACGGGCCAGGCCCTCCATGGGGCACTTCTTCCACCTTTCTCCTGGGCCATGTTATAACTGCATCTGCCATGAGTTACTTGGTCATTTCCAGTAAAATTAGAAATGATGCTTCAATTAGTTTTGAAATTGGACTTGTATGCTTTTTAAACTCCAAGAAAGCTGAGTCATTTGGCAAACCCCACACCAATCCCAAGGAAATGAACAATAGAGTAATAAGTGCATTGGTGTATCATGAGGAACACTCTTTCTTTCCACAGATTGAAAATGTTCAGCACAATCAGTATCTACTGCACCACAAGTGAGGCTCAGATAGACGGGGACTTTAGTGCGCCATTTGATCCAAGTCTGCCACCAACCAGCTGCATGACCTGAGTATCTTATTTTAATCTCTCTAGATATCAGTTTCCTTGTCGCTACAATGGGGACAATCATCCCATAGGATTGTCCTGAGGATTAAATAGGAAAACATAAGGGTTTGGCATACTGCTTAACATGTGGCTAAAGAAAGTAGTTTTTGGATCCACACACAAATATACTTCTGATCTTCTCCCTTCTCACCCTCGCCCAATTCTGCATGAGATCATTGGAAGCAACACTTCTAAAGTTCAACACCCGTGACTCTATTGGGATGCGCTAGGAGGGGAAGGGAGACTCACAGCAGGGAGGCTCAGGGATGGTAGAAAACTCAGATCACCACTGCTGCATGACCCATGTTGTAGCCCTCTTGCTCTATGGCTCACTTTAAACACAGTGAGCAACAGAATCACCCCAACTCACAGCGCTGCTTGTGACTCAGTGTCCCAACCACAGCTTGCTGTGGGGGCTGGGGCAGCAATGGGGGCAACAGAGGTGACACAGGGAGAGGCAGGTTAGGAGGGGCTGCTGAACAGAATGTCATTGCATCTACTCTCAAAGAATTTCTTCTCTTAAAATAATTAAAGATCTCTTTATTCTTCATAAAGAGTCTCATAGAGATTGTTTTTGTAAGCCATAGACCCTTTACCTCTACCTAAGTAGGTTGCTAATCAGATCAATATTAACCTTTTCTTTGTTGTCTCTCCAACAAAGATATGTAGGACAGGAGGGCACCTGAAGAATGTCATTTTCAAAGGCATCTCTGCTAATATTAGAATATTAAATTCCCAGAGTAATCTTTTCTGAGCTGTCTAGACCCCTCATTTGCAGATGGAAATGTTGGATGTGTTGACTTCTAATGTACAGTCAAGTCCACAATTCCAAGATTCTATGTCGCTATTTTACAAGCTGTTGTCTTCAGATGTCAGCACAAATGATGCATTTGTGCTTTGTTGAGCTAGGTTACTGGAGAACAGATAATGTTGCAGGGTTTATTATATGCTCAACAACATCTTAGAAAGAGGTGCAGTGTGTTCTGTTACCAAAGAAAGCAAGATATTATTAAGATAGGTCACTATTCTTGGCTCCCTAAAATCCTGGAAGCTGAAGCCTCTGTCATTTTCTTCTGAACACACAGCGGCTAAGTACAGCACCTGTCAGAGGTTCAGTCAATGTTTGAAGTATTGAACTGGACAAGCCTTTTAACCTCCCTGAACTTTAGTCTTCTCTTCTCAAAATGGACACAATATAAATCCACCTGCAGTCAACTGTGGTCAGTTTATTCATTTCTGGAGAGCAATATCAATGCTAAGCCCCATGACATCTTTTACTGTTAGTAAGATGCCCCTCAAAGTCAAGTCAGATCTCTGCTGCTGAGTTCTCAAGCTCTAAAATCAATGCTTCGTGCAGATTTGAAAAAGTCAACAGATAACCAAACAGGAGAGGGGAGCAGGCTTTCTTTGTGGCTGTGAGAAAGGAAACCCATCTTAGACACAGGTAATTATGGTGGTTCCTTCATATCTTACCTTTCAGCTAATCCCCCTTTAGTGAGGCTTGAAATTATTATAGGATCAAATGGCTCTTCAGTTCCTGAAATCGTGATGCCAAGGGGCCCCCCATAGCGCTTAAGTTCCACGGTGTAAATAATTGCTCCGGAACTTTCTTGCTCATCTGCAATAAATGCCAAGGTGTCATAATTGGTTTCCTCAGAAAAAGCAAAACAAGAAGACACATGTATTTATACACAGAAGTAGGAAATTCAAAACATTAAAGCATTATGTCTCAGGAAAAGATCATTTGGGGAAGTAGTATTTCTTAATAGGATTTTACATTCTAATGCAGGGATGCAGTTGTCAGTGCCAGGGAAGGGGAATACTGCCTAAAGATTATGTTTTTAAATATGTAAGTGATTCTCGACTTTGGCTATGTAGCCTGTGTCCATATTCTGCACAATGCCTGATTACATTTTTGTAAGCACAAATAAGTGAAAAATACCATTAGAATAAAAATACGGCTAAGTAGGTAATAGAGGAGAAAAGAGTCATTAACAAAAAGGATACTGGGACATGCTATTTCTATTTTCAGGCTTTATAAGGAAGCCAATCTTTTTAATTGATTGATTGATTGACGGGAGTGCTGGGAGAGAAAAAGAGGGGGAGAGGGAGGAAGAGAGAGAACACTGTTATCAGCTGGTTCATTCTCCAAATGTCCATGATAGTTGGGGTAGGTCAGGGCCAAAGTCAGGGCCTGGAAACTCAAATCATGTCTCCCATGTGAATAGCAGGAACTCAATTACTTGAGTCATCACCTGCAGCCTCCCAAAGTCCATATTAGCAGGAAGCTGGAGTCAGGAACTAGAGCCAGATATCAAACCCAGGTATTCTAATATGGGAATGTGGGTATCTTAACCTGCACTTTATCCCAGTAGACCAAATGCCCACCCCTAACTAACTTTCAATATGGAAAAGTTCATTTTGCTCAGGAATGGAGCAAATTACAACATCCACATGGCTAAGTGAGACTTAGAGGGGATAGAGATAAAAACAGGAAATCTGGCACCTACTAAGTACCATCTCACTGACTGTGTCTTACATCATGAGTCCTATTGAAAGCCGAGGTTTGAATGATTCTCTTTCCTCCGCTCTTGAGTTGCAAGCTACGCTTCCACACCAATTACCATGCTGTTACACTTTTATTAACTAAATTTGGCTATTTCACATGAGTATGAAGGGAAGATATTTGTAAAAGGGCTGCCTAAAACATTGTAAGAAAGATATCATAGGTCACCACCAACATACTGGGTGCTGTGACAGGGTTGCGAGAATGAAATCTCATCATTCAGAGGACTTTATTTGCTTATGACATGCTTAAAATTCTTGGACATTTCCCATTTTATTCCTTGGGTGCAGGAGCTGTCAATGGTTAAGGAGCTGCTTAATTCTTGAACCTAAGTATACAAATAAAATGGTCCAGTAGCTATTCTACCAAAATAGTCAGCTTTTATAGTTACACTGTATCCCAATGAAGTATTAACATGGCGCTATTTTTGCCATGAGCAGCTGTTCATCAATGATATGAAACCCTAAAGTAAAGAGGAAAGGCTTGAGTTACCAATTCAATTATCTATGTGTGCAGTGAAGAATTAGGTGACTACACAATGAAAGGTCTATGGAGTATCATGGGAAGCAATTGCATCCTGCCAGCATTTACCTCCCTTCTGGCTGCAGATAGGGAGTTCAGGAATATAGCCATCACTTTCAGCCCCGGAGAAGTTCCAAACATTGAGAGTTACAGGTTCTCTGCCACACCCTGAAATGCTTAAATCAGCACCTTAGGTTATAAAACTCTTCACATTAGCAGCTGAATGCTCCACATCAAGCCTGACACAGCTCTGTCTGCTGGTTCACAAACTTGGCATTGCTGCTGAGTTGTGGCCAACAGGCTGGCGATGATGTGCTAAGGGCTTCTCAGACAATCACAAGCATCCATGTTAATCACATAACGGGCAGAAGTATAAAGGCTATGTTTTCCGACAGTAATATATTTTGTCACCCTTCAGAGCTGGTTTTGACCCAAACTAACTGGATAGAACATGCTTGCCTTGTAGCTGGCACAATCGACTATATTTTGGATAAAATTCTGGGGGAGTCATTTTTTAGAAACCCCCTGACATATGGTTCATGGAAAATTGAATTAAAAGGTAAATTTTATTGGGTGCAAAAATTTTGAAAGCCATGCACAGTTTTTCCATAATATGCATTTTTAAAATATATTTTCCTTTAAAATTTACTTATTGATTTTTCATTTGTTTAGAAGCCAGAGAGAGAGAGAGGGAGAGAGAGAGGGAGAGAGAGAAAGAGAAAGAGAGAAAGAATGCTAATGTGCCTGGGAAGGCAGCTGAATGGTCCAAGGGTTTGGACCCCTGCACCCAAGTGGGAGACTAAGGTGGAATTCCTGGCAGCTGGCTTTGGCTTGGCCAAGACCCAGCTGTAATGGCCATTTAGGAAGCGAAACAGCATATGGAAGATCTCTTTGCCTCTCTCCCCACCCACCCCAATTGCTTTGCATTTAAAATGAAAGAATGAATGAATGAATGAGTCAAGAATACATAAATAAAAATAAATCCATCTTCCATTGGCTGGTTCACTCCTCAAATATCTGCAAGAGCTGGGGAGGGCCAGGCCAAAACCAAGAGCCAGGAACTCCAGGGGACCCATGTACTTGAGGCATCACTTGTTGCCTTCTAGGGTGTGCTTTAGCAAGAAGCTAGAATTGGAAGTGGAGTGGGGACTCAAACCCAGGTGCTCCAATGTGGGATGCAGGTGTCCCAAGCAGTGTCTTGGAAGGCACTATGCCAATGCCTTCCTCAAACCTAATTCCATTCTTCCATGAACATTTTGAAGTACCCTTATAGTTAATTAATGATTATTGCTGGGCATTCAGTATAGTTTTTTTTTTTTTTTTTACAGATGGAGTGGATAGTGAGAGAGAGAGACAGAGAGAAAGGTCTTCCTTTACCGTTGGTTCACCCTCCAATGGCCGCCACAGCTGGCGCACTGCGGCCTGCGCACCGCACGGAGTCAAAGGCAGGAGCCAGGTGTTTCTCCTGGTCTCCCATGGGGTGCAGGGCCCAAGCACTTGGGCCATCCTCCACTGCACTCCCTGGCCACAGCAGAGAGCTGGCCTGGAAGAGGGGCAACCGGGACAGAATCTGGCGCCCCGACCAGGACTAGAACCCGGTGTGCTGGTGCCGCTAGGTGGAGGATTAGCCTATTGAGCCGTGGCGCCGGCCTCAGTAGAGGTGTTTAACCCATCAGAAAGATCTTGACCTTTTAATGCTCTCCAAAGGGGGCAAGCAGGAGCACAAGCTCGCCAATGGGTGTTAAGCATTCTGGATTGGTATCTGCTTTTGATGGAATTTGGGGAAATTGTAGTTGCCCAGCTCTTGGAGACCCAGGAACATGTGGGACGTTCTAGTTAAGACTTTAGCCCTGATGAGAATGGGGCCAGCACCGCGGCTCAACAGGCTAATCCTCCGCCTTGCGGTGCCGGCACACCGGGTTCTAGTCCCAGTCGGGGTGCCGGATTCTGTCCCGGTTGCAAGACCAGAAGCACCTGGCTCCTGCCATCGGATCAGCACGGTGCGCCGCCCGCAGCGCACCGGCTGCGGCGGCCATTGGAGGGTGAACCAATGGCAAAAGGAAGACCTTTCTCTCTGTCTCTCTCTCTCTCACTGTCCACTCTGCCTGTCAAAAAAAAAAAAAAAAAAAAAAAAAAAAGAGAATGGCACTAGTCCAGGGGCAGGTAAGTTCCTATAATGTCCTCCTTGCTGAGAGGAGGAGGGTAGTTGGTTCTAGTCAGCTTACCTTCAGGAAACCCAGAGGGAACACTGTTATTTTTAGACAATTATGCACCTGGGTCACAAAGATGGCAGAATAACACCAGAAATGGAGTGGACAAGGTTAGGATAATTTGAGGCCATCTTTTTAAAAATTTTTTTTTATTTTTATTTTTGACAGACAGAGTGGACAGTGAGAGAGAGAGACAGAGAGAAAGGTCTTCCTTTGCTGTTGGTTCACCCTCCAATGGCTGCCGCAGCTGGCACGCTGTGCTGATCCGAAGCCAGGAGCCAGGTGCTTCTCCTGGTCTCTCATGCAGGTACAGGGCCCAAGCACTTGGGCCATCCTCCACTGCACTCCCTGGCCACAGCAGAGAGCTGGCCTGGAAGAGGGGTAACCGGGACAGAATCCGGCGCCCTGACCGGGACTAGAACCCGGTCTGCTGGCACCACAGGCAGAGGATTAGCCTATTGAGCCATGGCGCTGGCCAGTTTGAGGCCATCTTATGTGGAGGACTTTTGGTGAAACACTTGAGGTCTCACTATAACTAGCAGCAGGCAGTTTTTAGGGCAAAGAGCTTGGATGGTGATAGAAATGCCAATTCACCTTCATCAAGAGGAGCACACTGCTGTGACTACTGGGGTTGGAAATAGGACAAAGTGAAACTGTGCTTAAATTATGAGAGAAATAGAAATTGATTTCTCCAAAAAATAAATTGCTAGAAACAAAAAAGGAGAAAGGGGAGATTTAAAGATGTTACAGCCAAAAGCAATGAAAAGATCTTTTGGGAACGCAACTCAACAAACCAATTTTTTTTTTTTTTTTTTGACAGGCAGAGTGGACAGTGAGAGAGAGAGACAGAGAGAAAGGTCTTCCTTTGCCATTGGTTCACCCCTCAATGGCCACTGTGGCCGGCGTGCTGCAGGCGGCGCAGTGCGCTGATCCAAAGGCGCAGGTGCTTCTCCTAGTCTCCCATGGGGTGCAGGGCCCAAGCACTTGGGCCATCCTCCACTGCACTCCCGGGCCACAGCAGAGAGCTGGCCTGGAAGAGGAGCAACTGGGACAGAATCCGACGCCCCGACTGGGACTAGAACCCCGGGGTGGGTGCCGATGCAGGTGGAGGATTAGCCTATTGAGCCGAGCCACCAGCCACCAATTGTTTTTTTAAAAAGCTATCTCCCTCCTTATCTGTCTATCTATCCATCCTCTCTCTCTCCTTCTCTTTCTCCCTTCTTCCCTCCCTCCCTCTCTATATACCTACCCATCCACCAATCCAGTTATCTCTCATATATCCATACATTTCATACATACATATATATATATATGAGAAAA